AGGTGTGTGACTATGAAGCCTCTAGGACCCAACTCCACGCCTTCCAACAAACCTTTTTGAATTGCCATTGAAATCAACCCATTTAATCCTTCTGCTATTATTGTGAATAGAAATGGGGACAATGGATCTCCCTGCCTCAAGACATGCGATATTGAAAATTGTCTTGTCGGGCTTCCATTAACCAAGATTGACACTAGGCATGTTTTTACACACTTCTTGATCCAGTTCCTCCAGGTTTCACAAAAACTCATCCTCTTCATCATATATTCGAGAAAATTCCAGCTAACCTTGTCATAAGCTTTCTCGAAATCAATCTTGAGCATGAATGACTTTTTCTTCTTTTTTTTAGCTTCATCTATCACCTCATTCGCCATCACGACTCCATCCATTAATTGTCTTCCTCTAATGAACGCCATCTACTGCTCCCCAACTACCCCTTCAAGTACCTCGTTGAGACGGTTGGCTAATAATTTTGCCAAAATTTTGTACATCACTCCAAGCAAGGATATGGGTCTATACTCCTCTATCTTCTGTGGACTCTCTACTTTCGGGATGAGGACAATGAATGATGTGTTAAGTCCCTTCACCAACTTACTGTTTTTCTGAAAGTCATGAATGAATTCAATCACCTCTTTCTTAATTGTATCCCACTCACTCTTGACAAAACCAAAATTGAAGCCATCCGGTCCTAGTGCTTTTGAGCTCTCACACTCCCATATTGCTGCCTTGATCTCACTTTCACTAAAAGGTGCTGTTAACACTAAAAAATAGAATAGATGGTGTGGAACTGAGATCTTTATTATTAGAGAAAGTTTACAATGAAGAGAGAATAGAGATGAAAAATAATCTATCTCCTTATGTTGATCCTAGAGGTATTTATAGGATGTTTAAATATAGTTATTCTAGGAATACAATTTTATTTGATTGGTATTTGGGGTATTCTTATTCTAGTGAGATTTATCCTATTCTACTTTTCATAGGACTATCTCTAGAATACCTCCACGTGTCCTAATTATCATAGAACTTATTTTAGGGTATAACATTTGCCCCCCAATGAAGAAGTTTGAGGGTAGTGAAAACTTTCAATGGGTGTCTGTCTTTCTTATTGCTCTGTTGATCTTGGTTTTGAATTTTGCGTAGGTTCTCACTTTTTCAACTGTGACTGTCTCGTTAAAAACCTTAACTAGAAAAAACCCTGTGGGGTAAAAAATCTAGTTTAAGGAAAAAAGAGTGCAGCTCAGGTTTTTCCTTTATGATTCCTGGCGCAGTTTCCTCATTAGAAATTTTTTGTTGAAATTAATTGTTCTGCAGATTTATGTTGATTTGTTCAGGTCCTTTCTTGATTTTTTCATATCTCCGCAGCTGTATTTCCCTGATTTTCTACTTCTTGTGCAGCCTTTTATGCACGTGGCCCCATTGTATGGTTTATTGGTACGGCAGGTCCTTTCAAGTTCAAACCCTTATTTCCTTGGGATTTTATGCAATTTATCCTTTTGGCTTTCAAATGGAGCTTTCTTGGGTTTCCCAATTCTTCTTTTTTCTTTTTTGTTTGACTTCTTTTTTATTTCTTTTTGTTTTCTTTCTTTTTTCTTTTTCGTTTTCTTCCTTTTGAGAAAGACTTCTTTGATCTTGTGATTTGATCAGGCCGGTTGTCTTGTGATGGCCGTAACTCCTCCTGCTTCCGGTTCTATTTCGATCTTTGCTTCCGTTGGTTCTTGCATTTTCTTTCTTCTTCTTTGCCATTTTTATGTTTTGACGGAGGGGAATCCTTCAAAATCTGCTGTTATGGCTCTAGTTGCTCGGGATATTGCCAAGATGGGGGTGGATCCCATTGTCAGAGGTGATCTTTAGAAATTTCTCCTATTACTGTCGAGGACATGACAATTTCTCTTTCTATTGTTGCTAGTTTTTCCCATTCTTACCTTCATTGGTTCAAAAGTGAGCCTTTCTTCTTCCGAATCCAAGTTTTTTGACATTTTCCATTTTCCTAGCTGGTTTGTGGTGAAGGATGCTTTTCATCATGTAAAGAGGAATCCCATGACCCTTCCTTTTCCGATGGAGGTTCTTATGATTTTTCCTCCCAAGCCTGTCTTCTTAACTAAAGAGAGAGCAGTTGGTCCTCTAATGCCTTCAGCAACACTGCATCCAAGAAAAACACCACCTTCATTGCCTCAATTCTTCTATCTCCGGCTCCTCCAAACCCTCCCCCAATTCCAACCGCCGAGATCGTGAAAGGAGGCAAGACAGGGAACGCTGCTCGAAATGCTACAATTGCCAGCATAAGGAGGAAGCCAAGGAGCGTGAGTGTGCGTGGTTGGAGAAATTGGCGGATCGAGATCGTGAGAAGGAGTTGAAGGTGATTAAAGAATAGTATATTAGATCAAAATCCTCACAAGGCCTAGCTCAAGGGTTCCGAGCCAGAATTGACCGAAGGGAGCAGAGAAAGCTTGCTATCAAGAATGTGAGATAGATGTAGTCCCTTGCTAAGTTGATTGTGCTTGATCTCATCTCTGAGTTTGAGAGCATGGATGTTGTTGTGTAGGTTTAAGCTGATCCAAAGTTGAAGAAAGTTTATGATTAAGGTTCAATGCATGTTCCTTTGGGCAGATCTTTGGTTGAAGTAAAGTAAGGATTGGGCAGCTTTTGAGGACGTAGAGGACTCTGTTATAGCTATTCACAGTTGGAGTAGTTTTGTGAATGCGGAGGTTCTCAAGGTACCCCTTATTCTCTAAATGCTCAGCTTTGTAGACCTCTTGTTGAACTTGCATATAAGAACATTTATTTTTGAAAAAAACATTTGGGTTGTACTGCTTTAATTCCGTTCTTTAAATTTGCTCAGGTTTATGATGCTAGTTCCCATTGTCTATCTATTTTCTACAACTCATTGGTACTTTGGATTCCTGCTTGTTGCATGCTAAGGTTGATCTTATTTAGATACAAGGGAAGAGCAAAGGTATGATAAACCTATGTTGTTAGTTTAAGAATGCTATGATGTATTAAAAAAGAAGAAAGAACTTATCCCTTTTGCTGCTTTTGTCTTGAATCGTCCAATTCTGCTTATCAGCAATTGAATGAGCTAGCTTCAAAGATTTTGCTTTCAAAAGCTCTGTTTCTAACTTGAGTTTTGGTTTGAAATTTGCATTAACTTCTGTAGCACATCTTGCATAGCTTTTGTCAGGGTATTTATGTACACCTAAAGCTTGCTCGTCGCCTTTTGCTTGGGTGTTTATGTACATCCAAACTTACTTATAGCTTTCGTTTGCCTGTGTATCTTTTGCTTGGGTATTTTATGTACACCCAAACTTGCTCACAACTTTTTGCTTGTCTGTGTAACTTCTGCTTGGGTATTTATGTACACCCAAACTTGCTCATAGCTTCTTCGCTTGCATAACTTTTTCTTGGATATTTATGTACATCCAAACTTGCTCGCAGCTTTTTGCTTGTTTGTGTAACTTCTGCTTGGGTATTTATGTACACCCAAACTTGCTCAGATCTGGAGAGGAAGAAGGGAGAAGAGAGAGAGAGAATAAGAAGAAGGAAAAAGAAGGATGATCTTATTTTCATTTTAATTTAAATTTTCAGAAGTAGTAGGTTTAGGGTTTTGAATCTGAAAAGGAAATGAAAAGAGAAACGAAGATAACTTGTGATTTTTGGGGAATTTGATTGAAACTGGAAAAAGAGAAAACAAAATTTTCATGTGGGCCCCACTAAAAAGAAAAACTGAGAAGATGACGATCTGACGTGTAAAAAAATGCCACGATGTCAAAAATGTCATTGCTGGATTTACATGTCATTAAAAATTAAAAAAAAAAAAACCGGTGATTTTGTGGCATCTTAACGAGCCACCTGGCATTTAACTGACGGAAGGAGCATTTTGGTACCAAAAATAAAAGTTCAAGGATAATTTTAGTACTTTTTAAAGCTGAGGGACAATTTTGGTGCCAAAGTGATAAGTTGAGAGACTAAAATGGTACTTAAACCTAAAACTTATTATTAAATAGGTGAATCCTTAATATTAAGGACCATTTTCTACCTAATAATCTTTATTTTATAATTTAATATAATTTAAATTACAAAACAGAAGAGTCATATACTTACTCAAATAATTAGTCATTCCTATTAAAAGAGAAATTAGGATGAAACGAAAAAAAGAAAACAAAAGTATATACTGACAATTATAAATCCACCTTTGCCAGAATAGTAGCTGACTTCCACTGAGGAATGCAGATGGGATCTCAAACAATGATAAATATGGAACCCAATGGTTTCCAAAGCCCCTTGGAAGAGATTGTAGCACTTTCATTGCAATATCTGCCATTAAAATTTGTTGGAGAAAAATTAAGAAAAAGGAAAAAAAAAAAAATCATATGCAGAGTACGTAGTTTTAAATTTGGGTAGTATCTTAATAATCAAAATGCTTAACTCCTTAATTAAAAGGTAGATTTCATTTCCAAATTCTAATTAAAATGGATATAATTTGATTTATTCTAAACTAATTTCATGATTTAAAATTTAGCAAATTAAATTCCTTACTTTTTTAATTAAATCAAATATAAACAGTAGTATAAAATTACAAATGAATTTATCTACTGGGTATACCCAAGACGTACAATTTTGTAATCCATTTGTGATATTTTGGACTTCAAACAAATTTGTCATTTTTCGAGAAAAAATTACAAATCAATTTCATAAAATTTTTAATCAAGCTAAACATAGGTTACACTATACAGAATTCAAATCATGCAACTAGAACAATTATATATGCAATTAAAATCAGAACTTTTAAACCAAACTAAATATAAGAATGTGAATTTATAAATAAATTCTACAATTTTTTTTTTTTTTGAAATCCATTTTATACCAAACACTAAGTGATACCATGTCACCCAAAAAATATAAATTATATATGACAGCTCTTACCAAACATTTTGCTTTTAATACTTGCTTGAAGGAAGCATGCGACCTCATTACTTAGGCCGTTTCTTTCCTCGTCGTTGGCTTGACCAAGGTCTTCCATCAATTCACCACACAAGAAACGTGTCATTTTCACATGACCTCCCTGACATGCAGCTAGGAGTGGAATATTTCCTTCATCGTCTTTGATATAAAACAACTTACGGTGCTTGTAAATTAACCGTTGTGCTGTCTCTTCTTTTCCCTGATAAGCCGCAAGGGCAAGAGCTGTTCTTTTCTTTTTATCTCTTATTTCCAACTGTTCTGGAGACAATTCTTCAATCAGGCTGTTTACACCCATTTTTGCCAAAAAAAAAAAAAAAAGAATGGTGCCATGTGTCATCCATGTTAGCAGGTATTTCATTGGTTAAAAGTTTGTGTAAATTT